GCTGCTCACCTTACCCCACACCCCCCAGTGGAGAATACACGACGCCCTTCCGATCCCCTGACTCCCCCCCACACCCACCCCACACCCACACCCCACACCCTCACCCACATCCTTAGGTGTTATGAAAATAAAATAAACACTTTCATCTATATACATCAAGGGCATCTATTATTCTGGTATATCATGTAGATGTATAAATAGCATTGCTTCGAGCACTCTGGTTTAAGTGATACATGTTCCTGATTAAATTAGTTCAGTTTGTTGAAGTGAAAGAAAAACGCAAAGAAACAGTCTGATCAATCAAAACTACTAGTCCACCCGAAATTTCTTTTTCTTATTGTTTCCTGTTGTTGTGACTTCTGGTGTTGTCAATGTTGTTAATTGATTGATGTCTTCATTTTTGGTTTGACACCAGTCACGAATGTTTCTTGATTCACTGTTAGTTTTGCTATCAGTATTCAAATGATTGTTTTGTGTTGATTTAGCTTCAATTCCTTCCAAAATAACATATGTATGTCGCACTAAAACATTATCGGTAATATTAATAAGATCTAAATATTGTGTTAAATCTTCATTCCATAAATCTGTTCGTTCTATATAAATTTGCATTGGGACGTTCAAATCAATATTTGCTGTAATAACACGTATAATTAAACGTTTTAATACTGACAACCATACTCGTGGATCTTTCAATTGTTGTGGAATATTATCTAACATATATGTTGAACGTATAAATTGTCCAATAATATTTTCTTTTTCTTCTTCATTTACGCATACGTCTGTAGTTAATTCTTGTTTAACATAATTTTTCATTACTTCATCGAATACTAATTCCTCAATGAGCTCATATAAATTTATAACATATTTTAATTGAATGTTAGCAAATGGTTGTTTTTCATTGAGAATATATGAATGCAAATGAGAAGTATTGTGTATTAAAGCTTTAACGGACTCTTTTAGTGTTGATGTGGTTGGCCTGCCAGTTGCATGTCGGTAATATGTAAATACATAATCTAATGAACCTAAGAACTGTCGTACATCATCCATTTTTGTATTTCTTAAATATTGTTGAAGCTTGACCTTTTCATCAGTTGATAATTGCTCTTGTTTTATGTTTCTTCGTATATCATTGAATATTGATATATCTTGATGATACAATTCAAATTGATAATTAAAATAATTGAAATTTGCTGTATCAATCGATCGTATACGGTTTATTCTATTACATAATCTAGCTTCAATTTCATCATAATCATAAATTACTTCTTTTGTTTTGCCATATTCATAATTAATAATATAACCGTTTTCTTCTCTTAATATCTTATCAATTATTTCAGGTGACACTAATAATAAATGTTCTTTTGTAATTTTTTGTATTTCTATTGCTGGCTGTTTTCTTTCAATATCCTCGTATAGTATTTGTGAATTAGTTATATGTTTATAGAAATTTATAATGTTATTTTGAAATTTAGCTAATGTATGTATACAACCAAGTATTTCGAAACTACTATTATCTGTTGATCGATTCAATAAGAAAAATGCTAATTTTCTTGATTTGGAAAATTGTTCCATAGATTGTGTACGGTCTATTTTGATGTGAGTACAATCCAGTTGTACATCATCTAATTTTAATCTATACCATGCTTGACGAAATTGCTCAAATAGTGAAAATAGCTTTTTATCATTAATATCACTTCTTATATAAAAATCTAATTCTTTTGTTGATGCTTCAGTACGTAATATTCGATGATTGTACTTTTGTAATAAATAATTAGTAAAGTTAATAATTGGATACATGTATTCTATTTGTTCTAATTCTGATAAATGTTTTAAAACATAATCTGTTATTGGATATAATTTTTCATATTGTAGTAAATAAAATTTTGAACGAAATTCTTTAACAATATCATTATTACTTCTAACTATAGTCAAAAAATTTAGCAATGGATACTTTTGCTCATTTTCAACTAGTTCATTTATATAGTCGATTAATTGTGGTTGAGCATGATTTTCACGTATAAATTCACTGTAACTTAAATTATATTGTTTGATTTCATTAGACAGCGATTGAACATGGGGTAATACAACGTTTTGTTCGATATGTTTTTCGAAATCAACAACTTTCTTATTCGTATCTAATATACCATTAATACAAAAACTAGATAAATTATTAAAAATTTTATATAACCATATATGACATTCATTTTGTTGCCCAATCATAGCATTAATTAATTCATAATCTTTAAGATAATGTTTTCGAAAATAATTCACTTGTAGATCAGCTTTATCACGTAGTGATTGTAAATATTTCAGATCGTACAATATCATTATTGATGTATGAGTAAACATATGCAATAAACGATAGGTTATTGGTTGTAAATGCTCATTTGTTTCACTAATAGTAGAATTATCAGCCGGTGTTGAATTGATGTAATAACCATATCGATTTGTTTCGTTAAACTGTTTTATATAATTATCAATCAATTGAAAACCAGTAGCAATAGATAGTTGCATTTGTGGTGGATCGCGTACTAACAATTGACTTGATCCACGTCTAACAGATCCAATGTCATTTTTACATAATGGACAGTTAGAACGATCATTTGGTTTTCCACAATTTTCAAAATAATACATAAAATAACAATTTTTTGAACATTGATATATAAATTTTCCCTGTTCGAGTATTTCTCGACTATTTAACCTTTGTTGTACTTCATTTTTAACACGTTGCATTTGTGTTACAATATGATTATTATTTGGTTGTAAACCTACTAAACATCTTGTCATTAAATGTTGTGCATAGTCTTTTGGCATTTTACGATTACCATCAAATAAAAGACTATTTATATAGGTTGAATTTATTGCACATTTCGATGCCAAATATAATGCAAATATATTTAATGCAACAAGACGAATATGTATATCATTATCTGTCATATCTGCCTTCAATTGAAAATATGATTGATTATCAAAGTTTTTGCACAATTGCAGAATAAACTGATATCCAATTAATTCAAAAGTTGAAATTAATTGTTGTTGAAGTTGATTTTCAATCATTTGAACAAAGCTAATATCTATTGAGATATTTTTTATTCTATGAAATCGTGTATAATATCTTACAAACCATAAATAGAAACTATAAGCTAGACTTTTATCTGTTTGACAGTTTTTAATTAAATTTTCTAATTGATTTACTTCTTTGAATTGTTTAAATAGTTGATCAACATGAATATATTCATTTTTACATTCAAATAATGGCGTAGGTAATATAAAATTATTTGGTTCTTTTTCGTGAATATTTGATTGTTGTAATAGTATTGGTTTAATCCAAGCAATGTTACGATTCGATAGTGTTTGTTTCAATTCCTCAAGTGACATATTATGAAAATATATCATCTGTTTAATAATAAATATTTTAACTGATGAGCATACTTTAGACTCATTATTTAATAATAAACGATCTATCTGTCGCATAACATTATGTTGTGATTGGGTCATAATCAGTGCAAAGGAATACATTTCGGTATAGTATTTTAACCATGATAGTAAACAAATAATTTTTACTTGAGATCGTTGTTGTTGATTTAGTAGAGATTGTAATTGTATTAAATTGTCTTCAAAATATGTGTACTCATTATTTATTGAACTTTCAATATTTTCTTTTCGTATTGTTTGTTTCAAATATGAATGTATTCGATTGGATAGAAGATGCTCAATTTTAGTTGTTCTTTGTGACATGTTAACTCTTGCTAAATATTGTTCCAATTGTACATATGGACCATCAACTGTAACCTGACCGTGATTTGTTCTAATTATTTCAAATCCTAGCACCCCTTCGAAATATGCGAAAATTTTAGCAGAATACTTCCATAAGTCGTTGTTAGAGTTATCTAATATTTGCAAAAGATCAACATAATTATCATCATTATCATACAACCAATTTTTTAATAACTCAATTTCTAATTTTGATAATATTTTATTGATTGTATTTTTATCAAGGCCAATTTTGAAATTCTTTAATGTTTTTAAATGAGTTATACATGCATCAATATTGGTACATGTATTGAGACGGTTAGCTGTTATATAATCTGTCATAATCATCTGAAAAACTTTCGGCGGTTCATTATAAAGTGCCAGAATGGAAGTTAACAAGTTTATTATTGGTTTTAATTTTTCTAAATTGTTAACAGTATATCGTCGAAGATTGGATATTTCAAGACTCATTCGTGCATAGATTACTAATATATTTTGAATATTGTTTATACCCTGAATGTATTTTGGTGTTATTATTAATTCAATAAGATTCATTAAGCAATTCTCAACAAATGGTTCACCATCACACTCAAATAAGAATTTTTCAGATAAACTTTCAGCATTATCTATAACTGTATTCGGTGGGATTTGATAAATTACGTTATCTACTGTAATCAATTTATAATAATCATTTGTTTTTAAGGGAAAACAATTAGGATTAAGAACATTTTCTGTATCAATTAACGTCTTGTTAATATCATCTTTTAACACTTCAAATCCATAATTAAGTATTTTTAATAGTTGCTTTAATTCATCATGATAAACTAAATAATATTTAATTCGATCAGTAGACGTTTTCATAGAATTTCTATTACAGACAAGTGAAAAAACGAATTCAATATCTAAGTGAATTTTACATTTGACTAAAAGTATAGTTAATTGATCACGGTAATATTGCTCAAATAAATATTCATTATTGATTATCGAATCTTCAAAATAGTTTTTATAAAAACTATTTTCTTTTAATTTTGTATATGCTTGATCTTCAATTGTCATCTCAACATCTCCATATGATAAATTATTATGGATATTATAAATAATTTCAAACTCTTTAATTGAACATGGAAATCGAAGATCAAATATAAAAGGAATTTCGATATATTCATTGAGTATTAATCTAGTTGTTTGTTTAGCAATATTCGATAACATTGTATCTATACAGTATTGCCTGAAAAAGATGAGAAAGTCGTTTCAAATATGTCATCAAAAGTTATATATAACGAACTGTACGTCAGTAAAGTTCGATGATTCTAAATTTCTTATTCAACACAAATAAAATTTATTCGAAAACTTCTATTAGCTTTTTACTCAGTTATAAGATACTGTCATGCAATAAAATTTATTAACAAAGTATTTGCGTAAAAATTAACCACGCCTATTCAGTCAAAGAGTATCTGTACAAGAAGATATGTACAGACTTAGTCTTAAACAGAACATACTAGGTTTTTTGAAAGCTCCTGAAGGATATGTTCCGACATGTTTTTTATCGAAATGTATTTTGATAAAATGTTTCATTACCCGTTGTGACTTTTTAAGGGTAAAGTTGAGTGAATGAATCAATCACTAAAATACACAAGTTCTAGACATTATATTTTGAGTGTGAGTGCGTTTTGATTTACTCCACATTCATAGTCGCCCATTTCATTTATCTATTTTGTGTCACATTCATCAACAATCTTTTTACGTATTACCCAATAACTAGAATCAGGATATAGTTCATTTATTATGACAAGATATTCTTGATATACGGTCTTTGATTGTGTATTAAGAACGCTTAGAATAGACTGGCGGAGTTTTACGGTGTCTGTCACTCTCTATGGATGGAACGGGGAAGAGGGCGATTCCAAATTTCTGCCCTGTATACTTCAACACTCCTCTTACATCGTATTTCACAAAAATGTATTAAGTATCTAATTGGATTCTTCCACATTCAGCACTTCTTTTTTATCACACTAAAATGAAAATTTGAAGGATAAACTTACCATATTTGCTTGTATAGTTCTTTTGTTTTGTTTTCTTCGATTGTAATTTTTGTTGTCATAAACAAATAGCTATCGATAAGCGCTTGTTTTTCTGAATTTGAAAATAATAAAAGAAAATACATTTCATAAAAGTTAGTCATGGTCATTTGAAATGCATCATAAAATGAGCGTGCATTAACTGCTATTGTATTATTTGTAATTAAATCAATTCTCCAATCAACAAAGGTACTTTTATCGTTAACATTTCTAATAAGATAATCTATGCTCTTTATCATGATATCACTTAAATCTCCATGTTGATTGTAATTAAAATACTGCAATAATTCATTACGTCTTTCATTGATATCATTTTTTTTCGTAGTATTTGTAATATTATAACGAAATAGAGATAAGCATTTGTCAAATAGATCATAAAATTGTAAAGAAAATAATCTTTCATTGATTATATCCTGATATGACGGTTGTTGGAACACATTGTATTGTAGGATTTGTTTTTGCTCACTATCATTGAGATTTTCAATCATTATATTTGACCATCCATTGAATAAAACATCATTTGACATACTATTAAGAACATTTCGTTGTAAATGAAATATGATCCATATGTATTTAGACTGATTATTTTTAAATTCATTATAAAGATTAACAATATTATGTTTTAATGATAAGATATGATCACAGTCATTATAATAATCGACACGAATTAATAACAAATGTATATTTGTTGTTGAATTCGTTGTTGTTTTATCTATCGTTGTACTCATTTGAAAATGTACTTTCATTTTATTAATTAATTCTAATTCCGTTTTGAAATTAGCAAGCTTAACTTCATCAATATTTATGTTGATCTTTTTTGGATAATTAATATTATCATAAATCTGTGTGTAAGTATAGATAATTTGTCGATTCATTTCTGCTGATATATTTTTGAATAGGTTTTCAAGAGTTGAATTCTTTTTTGACAGATAATATTGTTCACTCAAATGTGCATATTCTTTTTTGTCATTTTCATTTTGTAATGATAGTAATAATGGTAAATCTGAAGAAGCAGCATGGACTAAGACATTTTTACAATGATTAATAGCATTATCTTGATCTTTTTGATTTAATTCAAATGCATCTATGACAAGATTACATACGTAATCACAACTGAAGTTAACAAATAGATGTTGCAATTGTATAAAATGTTTTGTACCTATTTTAATAGTTAATAAACGTTCCAACCATAATAACAGATTTTGTGTTATTGTTAAATGTAATGGTTCAATTAAATCTTTGAATTGAACTGTATGTTTTTCGAAACGATTAAGAAATGGTGGATCTGATTTTTCAACATCTTTAGCATTAACTAACACAATACAATAAAATTTGTCATTAACTAAGCATTTTGGATGATATGTTGATCCTAAGGCAATACGACAATATGTTTTTTGTCCAGATATTGAAAAACTTTGATTGTATAAATCATATAATGATGAATAACATTTATCCATTTTTCGCATTATTAATGTTATTGGTTTTTCAGCGTATAAAATAACATCCATTAATATACGATAATCATATGTTTCACTATTAAGATCATCTTTTATTTGACTTCCAATTAATGTTCGAATATTATTTGCAATTTTATTCAAATATCTTTCAATATAATCAAGAAGACTATTAGAATCAGAGATCAACATGAGATAGCGACCATTACGATCTTTTAAGCAATAGTCCAATATTTCTTTGAAATTCGGTGACTCGTACTGATTAATTAAATCTTCATGTTTTGTATAATAACAAAAGCGTTTCCACATATATTCAGAACCATCGACAATACCATCGAAATTAATTGTCAATTGTTTACGAATGATGTCAAACAACATTTTATTGTCAATAGTTTGCTTTAGCTCTTTTGATATACGATCAAATTCTTTTACAATGCCTTTTATTAATGAATAAAAGTCACGAAGACCAAAATAGTTTTCGTGAGATGGGTTTTCCTTTAATTTGTAACATAATTCAAGATATGAATATGCTAAACCATTCATAACATCATCATTTAATTGTATAAATTGGTTTTCATTTATACTTTTATGTATGGTTGTTGCTGTTAATTGAAGATCTTCAACTGTTGGATCTGAACATGCCAAATACAAGGCACGATTCATTTTTGATGCGTCTAATCTCCAATTGGATATAGCAACGAAACCATATTTACAATTTTCAATTTCTAATTCCTTATGTAATACTTTGAGTGGATTATATGGTGATAGCTCAGCTAAACCAATTTCATCAAAGACTATAACTGGTAATAATTCTGTTTGTGTCTTAGCATCACTATACTTTTTAGCACGCTCAAATACCATTTGAATGCTTTCTGATTTACATGATTTCGTTCCTTGATATGATACAGCAATTAATTCTGGTAATTGTTGGAAATACGAATCATTCGATTTTTTTCCTTTTAAATTACTTATTATTATTTGAATAGCTAATGTTTTGCTACAGCCCGGTTTACCACATAAAATAACCGGAATACGATTTAGTATGCAAACAAACATAACAAATAAATTATCACGTAAGGCACGATTGATTGCTGTGCCCATTGGCTTTTCTTTCATTCGTTTTATTAATTCATCTTGTTCTTGTTGTAATATTTGCTCAATAAATTTTTCATTTGTTTCATTAAATAACATTGATTTTTTAAGCATATTGATATAATTAGTTTTCTCAGCAGATGAACGTAATCGAAAGTAATAGCATAACATTAATGACAAAATACCTGATTCGAGTATTTTTTTTCTACTAGATAACTGAGTTTCACGTTTATCGAAAGTATCATAATACCAATTATATATTAAACGATAACGTGCTACATCTCGTAGACTTACACTAGAAACACCTTCGATACTTCTTAAATGAAGTTGAGATTGACAAGCACCATTGACCATTGCAGTGAATAATTGTCGTTCATTTGCTAAATTTGTGCATGTTCGAAGAATTGCTTCAATATATTTTCGCTCTGTAACACTATCAAGATGTCCATAATCATATATGTATTCAATCATTGTTTCTGGTATAGGTACTACAGTATACAATAAATGTTCCTGCAAAGTAAATTTTTGCCTTTCATAATTTTCTCTTTTTATACCAATATTATCATCAGAACGATTTTTTTCTGCTTTAAGTCGTCGAGGATTACATGCCGCCAAGAAAACCATATTGCTGGGCAATTGTTTGCCTAACAGTGTTCTTTCACACATTATTTCTTTAATTAGTCCAACGCTTTTTGTGGTATTAAATTCATCAAAAAATATCCATAAACGTTTTGTAATTTTATCTAGCTGTGTAGCTCGTGCACGCTGATTTTCTATTGTGTCAGTAATATCACTATTTGTAATTCCAGCGTGAATATGAAAAATATAAAGTTCATCATCCAAAATTTTTTGACATAAGAAGTTAATTAATACCGTTTTACCACAACCTAAAAAGACATGATTGGTAGTAGAGCATTATTCAATACTTAGTAGATTGACTATAAATTTTATTTTTAACTCAATTATACTATTCATAGTTTTATTTATACTCTTTGTAATATCTTCGAAAGAAATTTTGTAATTATTTCGAACTCCTCTCTTTTATATATCCAAAGCTACCATGATTCTTGCATGGGTTCTAGTCCATAGGTATAAGTAACAAGGGTTTAGGACAGTTGCTCGACGGACAGTTGCGCGCGGACAGTTGCTCGACGGA